GATACAAGCAACAAAGTTACAGTCCTGCAGTCACAAGTGGGAGGAAATGGGTGATAGGAACCATGAGAAGACTAATTGTAATAGTAATGCAGCCTTAGTGAATAGTTTGACAGTGGTGAGGGAATAATTTGTTTAGCAGAGCATCTGGAAGAACTGAAGAGGGTTGAGACAGGTCCACGTGTTGAGTTCTGGAGAATGAACTGAGAGGTGAAAGAAATATCAAACACCCTCGATCTAGCCCCGAGCAGCCTACGAAGTTGACGGGCGCTGGGAGGCAGCCCGGGACGGATCGGGCTGCCCCTCTCCCCACCAACTTCTGCCACCCGAAGACGCCTGGCTACAAGAGGCCGAAGCTTCGCCGCGAGGGGCGGGCGCACTCACCGGATTGCGCCTGAGCAGGGTGGCTCTCAGCAAAGGCAAATCTCGGATTACGGCCCCAGCTTGACTCGCCATGGGAGACGCCATCTTCAGCCACGCGGGTAAATCGGGGAGGAGCTTCCGCCCGAACAAGGGCGGCTCCAGGGCTCGATCAGGCCGGAGGCGGTCGGGTTGCAGGAGGTACCGGCGCCCGCAAGAACGGCGAGCCTTCCCCCGGAGGCTGAGGATAGAGGGCCAGTTGCATGGAAAAGAAACTGGGCGAAGCCTCCAACTCCGACGTGTAGAAGCGTGTTGAAGGGAATGCACGCCTCTACTCTTAACCACGCAGCGCACACGCCGAAGCCCGCTTTCCCCTTCTCTCTGGCTCGCTCGCTTGCTTTAGGATCCCCAGTCGCGACCCATCCAAACTATTTTTAAGTTCTAAAAGATGCCTGTTAGACGCGTTGGAGGAAAGAATCGGGCAGAAAATGGAATGGAAGGTGGTCCACAGACACCGCCGCAAGGGCCGGGATTGGCAGTGTATGCGTACTTCACATTTTTTCGTCGAAACGTGTTGGATCCGTTTGTGATATTGCGAGGTCCGCGGCGCCATTGGTGGTGGGGGGGGGGGGTCTATGGCAATTCGCCATGACCAGCTTGCCACAGCCATCTCGCCACAGTAAACTGTAACAGAGTTGGAAGGGACCTTGGAGGTCATCTAGTCCAACCCCCTGCTCAGGCAGGAGACTTGTTCTAGGGATTCCAACTGCCGACTTTTCTCATCGACAAGCTCAGGACAATTCGCTGTGGGACAAGAGTTTACACTAATAGCAAGGAAATAGTGGGATGGAATCATTAAAGAAAGGACGCAAAAGGAGGAGCAGAATAAAATGTGAATGGCAAAAAATGAAATATTTTTATTTTATTTTAACTAATTACATAGAATGGTTACATTCTCCCTTGACCAGGTGGGACTCTTCAATAGAATGCCTGCCTAAGGATTTAAAGGATAGCTTTCTGCTACTCCTTTTTTTCCCTCTCGATCTGGCTCTTTCCCCTCATTTCTTGGGGGGAAAAATTGCACTAGGAAGAAAGCAGATTTGGGAAGAGGGTGGATTCAGGAAAGAGTGTTTAATATTTCTAGTTACCAAATGTATTGTCCCATCCCATGTCCGTGTGTTTCTAATTGTGTACTACTCTGAATATATAGGTAGAATTTGTTAACTCTTAGACGGGAATTTGGAATGTGTGACTACAGAACAGCATTTGAAGCCTTCGAATTTATCAAGTACAGGCTCCAACACTTTTTAACTCCCCTATTGTTACAGAAAGTTTGGAAAGGTGCTCAGGTTGTATCATGTCATATTTACTCACATTTCATCATTTACTAACCCACAGCCCAAAACAAATGGGAACCTTATTTCAGGCCTAGTTGGGATTCAGTCAGCAGAAGTAGCCTGCAGTACTTCACTCTAACCACTGCGCCACCATGGCTTATGGATGACTGAGGAAGCCAAAGAATAACCAAAGAAGTCAGTATGTGTTTCCCTGATTATATAAGGGCTGTTGATCTTAAATGTGCTCAGAAAAATGGGAGTTCCAGAACATTTCATTAGCCTCGTGAGAAACCTACATAAAAGTCAGGCACTGTATGGAGAGAACATAGTAAAACCACCCGGCTTTATGGTGGTGAGACAGAGCCATATACTCTCCCCTTGTTTATACAATGAAATATATATTAAGAGAAGCTAAACTGGAGGAAGATTAGCCTGGTTTTAAAATTGGAGGCAAAACATCAATTACCTGTGCTGTGCTCACAGTACTACTTGATAGCCAAAAATGCAAATTGTACAGGTAATCCTTGACTTAGAACCAGTGGTGAAATTCGAACTTTTTTACTACCGGTTCTGTGGGCAGGGCTGTGGCAGGGGAAGGATACTGCAAAATCTCCATTCCCACCCCACTCTGGAGCCAGCCAGAGGTGATATTTGCCGGTTCTCCAAACTATTCAAAATTTCTGCTGTCAGTTCTACAGAACCTGCTGATTTCACCCCTGCTTACATCCATTTGTTGTTTAGTAACTGAAGTTATAAAGGCACTGGAAAAAAAGACTTACTAATATTTTTGTATCCCCATGGTCATGTGATCAGAATTCGGACACTGGCAACGGGCATGTATTTATGATGGTTGCAATGTCCCAGAGTCCTCTGCTCAGTTTTTGCAATCTTTGACAAGCAAAGCCAATGGGAAAGCCAGATTCAATTAACAGCCATGTTACTGGCTTAACAACTGGAGCAGAGGTGGGTTGCTGCCGGTTCAGCCCGGATTGGCCGAACCGGTAGTAGCAGCAGCATGAGGCTCCGCCCTCCCACCCAGATGCTTCTGCACATGCGCAGAAGTGTTGTGCGGGTGCAAGAGTTGGAGCATGTCCAAACTGGTAGTAAAATAATTGGAAACCCACCTCTGAACTGGAGTCATTGACCTAAGTGCCCTTTATGGCTCAGTGGCCAGATACCTGTAGGACCACCTACTCCAATTAGTACCAGACTTTTGCTCAACCAGGAAGAAACTGCTACAAATCTCACATTTTCAGACTGAGGCAAAAAGGCATTTCTTTTCTGCAGCAATGACAGTCCTGTGGAAGAATCTAGCCCCCTCTTTGCTGATATTTTGACAACTGTGGAAAAATGAATTGCTTGGCAGATCTTTCTCCTGATTTAATGGTGCCATCTGCAGTTTTTATTTTTACGGCCTTTATTGTTGGTTTGTGTTGGTATAATGTCATTGTTGCTAACTGTGATGTTTTTGTCTAATTTTAGGTTTCACAGTGGATAATTGTTTTACTATATTCACCACTCAGAATCTATCTGATTGTGGCAGGATAAAAAGGAAGAAGAGAGAGAGAGGCACGACTTAAAATTGTTAGATTGCAAAACAATGGGCCACATTTTCCTTGAAGAGCTGAGATGCTGTTCTCACATTTCCTCGGTTCTTTTTATTCTGCTATAAGGACATATTAATGAGGAAATAGCCTGCTCATTTTCATATCGTTCACAGAGATCCCTTTCCCAACTCCCATTTGTTCAAGATGAATGCGGTACCCAGCGGTTCAAGAAACGTTGTTTATCATTAACCTTTTATTTAAGCAGAAAACCTATTTGACAAATACAAATTCATTACAACCAGCAGGGCGGCATGGAGCTTTCAACGGAAATAAATAAATAAATTTCCCTGAATGCCATCTGAGCTCCTGCTGATACATGTCAGGAATAAAACAGCTATTACAGCAGTGGATTAAAGAGCAATTGTTTGTCATTGGGGCACTTTTTTATGGTTAACCATATTCTAATTTAAAATGAAGTAGACTGGGAGCAAAGTCAACTTCACTTGATTCACAGCATTATTAGTCCCCGTGGCTTAAGTCCTTCAAAGCAAGAAAAATGGGCCATCCTTTCTACACAAATAAGGACTGATTCGTTTGGGGATTTGTTTGACTGATCAAGCTATAGAACAGGAGTGTCAGACTGGCTGCCCGCAGGCCAGATGTGTCATGCATAGGCCACGCCCACCCCAATTCTGTAAAGGGGGGAAATGTCATGACACAGGAGCTTGACGCCCATGCTCTAGAATGACTAATTTGGAATTCAGAAGATTGAAAATTTTAGCCAGTAAAGTTTCCTTGGAACTGAATTAGAAGTTTTTTAGAACTGCAGAAAAAACAATTACTGCCAACCTGCCTTCCATTAAGGACCTGTATAGTACACAAGTTGAAAAGTGGGCCATGAAAATATTTACAGACCCCTCCCATCCTGGATATGAATTGTTTAAACTCCTACTCTCAAAACGACGCTATAGAGCATTGCACACCAAGACAACTAGACACAAGAACAGTTTTTTCCTCGAACGCCATCACTCTGCTAAACAAATGATTCTCTCACAATTGTCAAAGCATTCACTAAGGCTGCATTACTATTACTATTAGTCTTCTCATCATTCCTATCACCCATCTTCTCCCACTTATGAGTGCATGACTGTAACTTGGTTGCTTGTATCCTTACAGTTTATATTGATATTGATTGTTCCTGGTTGCTTATTTGTACCCTATGATTATCATTAAGTGTTGTACCTTATGATTCTTGACGAATGTATCTTATCTTTTTATGTACACTGAGAGCATAGGCACCAAAGACAAATTCCTTTTGTGTCCAATCACCAATAAAGAATTCTGTTCTGTTCTATTCATCTTCACCAAATGAATTAACTATAGAATGTTATTTTACATGAATTACACGAGCGATGTAATGGTTCAATTTAGAACAGATTTACAAATGCAGCTGCTTCAATGAGCAGCAGAGAAACAGTGCTTTCACACGTACCTATATTGAAGGGTTTTCTTCTAAGTCAAATCCCAAGCTTTACATAGCCCTACAAAACAACAGTTACATATCACACAGATGCACTAGCATTGTTGAGCTAATTGAATGCATCAATTTATAGGAAGAGACTGGCCATTGATTAAATCATGAGAAATGAAACTTCAGTTGATTATAGATTAGTTAGTGAAAGGGCTGGAAGGAAAGCAGTTAATGTCACCTATTTTAATTCCTTGATTGTATTCTTTATGACTCAGATGGCACAGAAGCTAACACTCTCTTGAAATTTATTCTGCTTAATGTTATAATGCATTATTACTGCTTATTCATCTCTTAGATCTGTATCTGACTTGCGGGTATTCCATTACTACAGGATTTTAAACGGAGATTGGACAACCATTTGTCTGAAATGGTATGTGCAGGTTTCTTGCCCGAGTAAGGGGTAAGACTAGAAGACCTCCCAAGGTCCCTTCCAACTCTGTTTTTCTATTTTCTTTCAGAAACTACTTTTTTCTCACTTTCCATTCCCCCTTCAACAACAATAACCCTGTAAGATAGGGTGGACTGTTCCAAAAATCACCCAGTGAATTCTGTATGTGAAGCTGAGTCTTAACCTAGCTCACCAACATCTTAACTATTGCAGGGCGCTTGGTCTCTCTTCAGTTCCTTTTCATATTTCTGCCATTTCATTTTACCCCTTACTTATATACTTCTTATTTTTGTACTTCTTATTTCTCCTTACTTCTATCTACTCCCCAATTTCCAAACAGCTATGAGG